AAACGGGGCGCGCGCGCCGTCGCGCGCGGGTTGGTGAAGCCGCGAGGGATGTCGGACGAGGAGTACGAGCAGTTGTTGAGGCAGCAGGATGAGCAGTATAAGTTGTTCAGTGAGAAGGCGAAGCGAAGGATCGCGAAGAAGGGACCGATGGAGGGGGACGTGAAGGGGACGAGCGAGTACGTGAGCACGCAGAGCTTGGGGGCGCCGGTGGACGAGGAGCCGAATTGGAAGGCTTACGAGGAGATGACGTTGCAAGATTTCTGCGGCGCGGTGGATAAGGGGGAGGTGAAGTCGTTTCAGGTGTGGGACCCGCCGCAGTTTGGATGGTTTCCCCCGAAGGAGCTTCGGAAGATACCGCGCGCGAGGCACTACTTGGTGACGATGAAGGGGAGCGAGGGTAAGAAGTATTACGTCGACACCTTGAATCAGGCGTTGGACCGCGCGGCGTTGGATAAGTGCGATCGTATGGGTGCGTGGTACACGTATCATCAAAAATGGAAACCCTCGTCGTACTCTGGGATGGAGTTTTTGGCGTACTCCCTCGGCGGTTTGGCGTTCATGATTGGATCAATTTATTTAGGCATCGTGCGCAAGACGTCCGTACCGCAGGATCAGTTCCAGGCGATGCAGTTTGCGCAATCGCGAGCTGGTGCGCGCCGCGATGGCACTGTGAACGTAACCCTGGAAGACGTCGGCGGTTTGGAGAACATCATTGAGGACTTGGAAGAGGTTGTGGCGTTCCTGAAGGAACCCGAGAGGTTTTCCAAAGTCGGAGCCAGACCGCCTAAAGGTTTGCTCATGGAGGGCGGTCCGGGCGTTGGTAAGACGCTCATCGCAAAAGCGATCGCGGGCGAGGCTAAAGTGCCGTTCTACTCCATGTCTGGTTCTGAGTTTGTCGAAATCATCGTCGGTGTTGGCGCTGCGCGAGTGAGAGATTTGTTCAAGCGTGCTCGAATCAACGCTCCTTGCCTGATTTTTGTGGATGAAATCGATGCGCTCGGCATGAAGCGAGCCGCGGCCGGCACGCGCGGTACGGAGGAGCACGAACAGACGTTGAACCAGCTTCTTACTGAGATGGATGGTTTCACCCCTGACACTGGCGTCGTGTTCATTGGCGCCACGAACAGAGCTGATTTGCTCGACCCGGCGCTGTTGCGCCCAGGTCGTTTCGATCGCAAGGTCCGAGTCGGACTTCCCAACGTCGAGGCGCGAGCGAAAATTTTGCAGATTCATTTGTCGAAGCGGAACTGCAACCCAGAGATCGACACGAAGCGTTTAGCGCAGAACCTCCCCGGGTTGTCAGGCGCCGAGATTGCGAATATTTGCAACGAGGCCGCAGTGCACTGCGTGCGAAGAAACGGTGAGCAGATCGAAGAATTCGACGTTCTCAACGCCGTCGAGCGTGTTGTGAGTGGTATTCGCCTCTCACCGCATCCGAAGGATGCTCCGTTGACGCGCAAGCTCGCCGCGCACGAAGTTGGTCATGCACTTGTGCAAAACTTGCTCCACAAGAGTACGGGTCTGATTGAAAACATTGAGCTCATCTCGATTATTCCGCGAGGATTTGAGCCGACTATCACGTTGATTCAGCGAAAACGCGACGAAGAATACCAGTATCCGACGCGTGCGCGATACTGTGAGCGCGTGCAAGTGTTGCTCGCGGGGCGCACGTGTGAAAAGGTTCTCTTTGGAGAGACAACAACGAGAGGGACGGAGGATATTGTCGAGGCGAATGATTTGCTCCGAAACATGATAGTAAACTTTGGATTGGGGCAGCCTGGGATGATGACGACGTACACGCACGACCCGACGGTGTTGAACCGCTCGGAGAAGCGCGTTGCTCGATTGCAGGGCGTTGTGTCTAAATCTGGAGAGATCAACCGCCTGGATGACTTGCGCGTCATCGCCGGTCCGATTCGCGCCGCAACGCCGGATCACTATCAGTATGCCGAGCGAAAGATGGTACAAATCTTAAACGAAGCGGAAGATAATTGCGAGGCGATCGTCAAAGCGCACGTGAACGCGATCAACACCATGATCGATCGCTTGATTGAGCAAGAGACGCTGTCGCTGGAGGAGTTTGAGGAAATCTTGGCGGCGAACCCACCCACGGGTGATTACCCGACGGTGGGTCCGGACACTCCGGTGAAGATCCTCCCCACAGAGGCCGAAGAAGACGCCGCCGGTGTGCGCAAAATCAAGAACAGGCGGGATAAGATCAAGGCTGCTTCGAAATTTTACAACATCGATGTTTCGGCTGGCGAGTTGAAGCTTCGCGATCCAGAGACGTGGAACAAGATTCCGACGAGTCTCGAGGAGTACGTGTATCCATACGGATCCCAAACGAACGTTGGATGGTTGCACGAAGTCGCCCCGCGTCAGAGCTACAGCCATCTCGCGGTGAAAGAGAAAGAGCAAGAAGATCCGAAATGGCGCACGAACGAAATCATTCGCGTGACGAAGATCGCAGATGACGACCGAGCTGAAGAGTTGAGAGGGATCGTGAAGACGCTCGAGGAGCGCCGGACCGCGGGTGAGGAACTGAGCGCGTTCGAAGAACGTCGTATCTTGGTTAGCAACGCCGAGCTCGAGCACTTGGCGGAGAAGTGGTCTGGTGAGGGATGGACGCCAGCTCCGGAGTCGCTTCGTTGGGGCATGCGCTACGAGGAGGATGCAGAATTGGCAAAGAAGGAGCTGGAGTACTGGTCCGAGTTTCCGAAGAGCTACCAGTCGCGCCTGTACCGTCTCGGTCGAGCCATCGATCGCGTGACGGCTCCCAAAGACGCTCGCGAATGAAAAGTACGATAGAATTTGAAACAACGAAATCACAAACTAGCAAGCTCGGGCGCGTAACATCGACTCAACGCGCTCAGCGACGTTCTCGAACGATGATGGGTCCACGTACGTCTCACACGCATAGCACCAGCAGCTCATGTCGTCCCAGCTCACGCACACGTCGTGAGCGCTCTCTGAGGCGTGTTTCTTTGCGCACGCGTTTTGGTACCGCCCGCAAAAGCTCTTCCCGCAGGCGCCGCACGCCCAAAGCTCTGACGTCGTCCCACACGTCTCGCACGCCCGCGAGTGCTCGCATTCCCCCGAACGAACCCCAACGGCGTGCGCACACGTCGATGTCATCCCGAGCGCGCTCCCACCGGCGTCGACGACACCCAAAACATCAAACATGTAATCCACACAACGTTTCACGTCAACCTCGAGCGAACTCTCACTCGTCTCGCCGCTCGTCTCCAGCGTCGACACCGCCGTCAAAGCGCTCTGCACATCGAACCCGTGCACGTTGACCAACTGTCGCAACGCCAGCGCCGCGCGATCGCTCAGTTCGACGTCGAGCGTCGCGTGCGCCATAAAACGTAAAGTTGAAAAACACTCAAACCGTCAGTGTGTGACGCTTCGTGTCGCGCGAGTTCCCACCCATGGACCTCGCGCGCGCCGTTCGCGCGCGAGAGCGCGTCTTGAACGCGTTCAACCGCGAGCAGAGCGATTTCGCGACGTTACGCGAGTGGAACGACTACCTGGAGCGACGAGAGGAGTTGATCTTCAATCTGACAGAAGGCATCGATGTGACGGCGACGGAGGCGGCGATCGCGGAGCACAGGCGGATGCACGGGAGTGAGATTGCGGCTTTAAATGCGCGGCGACGGGCGGCGAGCGGATTCGGGGATGCGAGTGGGGCGGAGGCGGATGGGGGGTACGTCCCGGAGACGGCGAACGCTATGACGGCCATGCCGGTGCCGACGAGCGCGGTGCGACGAGGGTTGGAAGCGACGAGTTTGGGATACGACGAGAATACGGAAGAGGGACGGCGAGCGCGAGCGGAGGCGATCGCGCGGGCGTGTGGGTTCGATGGGAAGGCGGTTGCGCGGTTGCGGTGCGTTCGAGAGGCATTCGCAACCATTTGGGCTGGTGCGTGAGGACGCTGTGCGCGGCGTTATTGTAGCGATAGTAGGTTGTAGTCGACGATTCTAGGTTTCATCGTCATCGGATGCGCGCGCGCGGTGCGTATTTATCACAGAGAGCGGCTACGGGAACACAAAATTGCCGCGTGCAAGCGAACGTCGATCCGAGTCGAGTCGCCTTGCAGTATTTACATGTCTCGCAAGAAGTCCGACTCGGAATCGTCCGCAAGAACATCATCACTGAACGCACCGGTCGATGCTTCGAGATCTTGGTAGGCTTGAGCGACGTTTTCGAGCGTTTGCTGAGACACAGAGGAGACAGCGGCTGCGCGCTTCTCGATGGAGCCTCGCGCCCAAGACAAAATACCCATGGCGGCGGCGGGGATGGACTGCGCCTCGCGGGCCTCCCTCTTGGCCTTTTCGTCATCGATGGACTTGGTGAGAAAGTCAATAACCTTGCGGTCGTTATCCCACCTCGTCTGGATCTCAGAGGCTGCCTCCCATGCGCGATCGAGCTCGGCTTGAAGCTTCTGAAACTCTGTCTCCGCCCTGGAATTTGATTTCAGCTTGTGTAGTTCTTCCTTTGTCGTCTCCAAGTCCTTCTTGAGCATCAGAATGACCTCCGCGTTTGCATCACGCACCGCTTCAGCCTTGATCTGACTCACCTTGGCGTCTTCAACACGCCTCATCGCTTCCTCAAGCTCCGTCTCAAGTTTCTGTTTTGCTTGTCGCGCTTCGCCTGCTTCCTTGAGCAAGGCCTCAATTCGCTGCGCGAGTGCCTCATCGCCACCCTCGACACGACTTTGCGTCATCTTAAGCTCAGCCTTGAGTTGGCTCACTTCGGCGGCCCAGCTCTCCTTGATCTCAGCCAACGCCTTGTCCGTCGTCGCTTGCGAGACGACGATTTCTTCTTCCATATTTTCGAGCTCTGTTTTCATATTGTTTAGAGCTTCTTCCTTGACCGTCAACATCTCTTTGGTCTCTTCCAACTCTTCAAGTAGAGTCGCGAGTCTTTCCGCCGCACCAGCGTCTTGCTCATCGGACATATTCTCGTTCGGGCCCATGATGGCGGCGACAAGTTGCGCGCGCGTTGACCAATTCTTTGAGTCGTTCAGAGCCGTTTCCATGTCCGTGAGTTCTTCCGGCGTCATCGAGGCGAAGACATCGTCGTTGGCGACTTCGTCACCATCGATTACACTGTCGACGAACTCATCGATGGCGACCTCAATCGAGCGCGCTACGTCCTCCGCGTCGCCGACGACGCTGTCGATGAACTCCATCGACGCCAGCTCGTCCCGCGTCGTGATCACCTCGTCCGCGCTCGATTTCATCGAAAGCGTCTCTGCCGCTTTTACCCTTCGAGCAAGATCCGCGTCCTCGGTGAACATTCGTACGTCACCGCCCTCCACCGGCTCCATCTTATACCTCGCCCGCAGCTCGTTCATCGTCGTCCCTCTCAAGAGCTCAATCTTCAAATCCAACAGCGCCTCGTCGTACTCGCTCTGCCGCCACTCCTCCGTGGTATCCTCCGGCATTCCCGCCTCTTCCCATCGCACGTACGCTCGCACTTGCACGAGCTCCGCCGGGACCTCGATCGAGTCCATGACCTCTCGAGGCGCCAGCGCGAGCGCCGCGCCTCGTCCGCGCGCGTCGTCCTCGCCCGAAACCGCGCGCGTCGTCCCCCGTCGCCCATCCGCGCGACGCGTCGACGACGACACCTTCGACGACGCGTGTCGACGACGTACCCGCGCGCGCACCGACGCCGCGAGCGCCGCGCCCGTCGTCGTCGTCGTCGTCGTCGTCGTCATCCTTTCCACGGCTTAGTCCAACCTGGACACACGCGCGCGTATCGTATCTATCACCCCCGCGCGCGACGGACGACACCCGTCGACGCCGTCGACGGTGACGACGATCGCGTCGTCCTCCCGCCCGTGGTCCCGCGTCGCGTCTCGCGAGCGCGCGTCGGCGGCGCCCGCGTCTGGGGCGCACATTATTTGAATGTGTACCGTCAGCGATGCACGATTTTGTGTGTACCGTCAGCGATGCACGATTTTGTGTGTGCCGTCAGCGATGCACGATTTTGTGTGTGCCGTCAGCGATGCGCGCGGTCGACCCCGTCGACGTCTCTCGCGCGATACCTCGACCGCGATGCGCGTCGCGGCGACGAACGCGACGGGACACCCGCGCGTGCGCGCGGGCGCGCGCGCGAGCGAACGCAGAGGGGCGTCGACGCGCGCGCGCGCGATGAAATCGACGGGCATTTCGATGGATGATCTGAAATCGAACGATAAGCGCCGAGCGGTGGTGGAGATCGACGGCGTCGGTCCGCTGTTGATTCAGGAGTTCGCGGGAGACGTCTTCGCGATGTCGAACAAGTGCCCGCACCTCGGATTGTCGATGCAAGGGAAGACGGCGTTGTTGTCCGCGACGGTGGAGGATGGAAAGGTGACGTGCAACGCGCACGGGAGCGCGTTCGACATGAAGACGGGCGCTCCGGTGGGAGAGTGGTGCCCGAAGCTTCCGTCTTTACCGGTGGTCGGTAAGGGGTACTGCGGAGACGCAAAGCCGATCGCGACGTACGCGGTTTCTGTCGACGAAGCGACGGGCGCGATCAGCGTCGACGCGTAGGCGGCTTTCCGAGCGCGCGCGCGCGCGCGAGATCCGCTTCACTCGCGCGTCAAGACCAAAGACTCGCCGCGATAGAAATCGTCGCGATTTATTTGCTCACGCACTGTAACACTCGGACGAGACTCGTCCTCGCTCTCTCGCGCGGTCTCTTCAGCGCTCGCCCGTCGTCGCGTCCGCACAGCGCGACTCCTACAAAATGTCCCTCGCGTCCGTCGCCGCCCGTCGAGCGTCGTCGCTTCGCGCCTCGACGCTCGTTCGGACGACGTTCAATCGCGCCATCGCGTCCGCGTCCGCCGGAGACGCTTTGGAGACGGTTGTCGGCGTTGAAATCCACGTTCGATTGCAAACTCGAAGCAAACTCTTCAGCGGCTCCGCGAGCGCGTACGGCGGCGAGCCGAACTCACGCGTCGCCCCGTTCGACGCGTCGCTACCCGGAACGTTACCAGTGTTGAATGCGGGCGCGGTGGCGCTCGCGGTGAAGCTTGGAATCGCGCTCGAGGGTGAGGTGCAGCTGCGGTCGGCGTTCGACCGGAAGCACTACTGGTACGCGGACCTTCCGCACGGGTATCAGATCACGCAGAAGCGATCGCCGATCGTTTTGGGCGGTGTGGTACGGTGCCAGGGAAATTTGAGTGGGGATGATGCGGGCGATGAGAGGTCGACCGATGGAGCGCTGAAGGTTGGGATCGAGCGCGTTCAGTTGGAGATGGATACGGGAAAGAGCTCGGTTGCGGAGGACGGACGTGGCACGCTTGTCGATCTGAATCGCGCAGGACAGGCGCTTGTAGAGATTGTGAGTGAGCCCGACATGCGGAGTGGTGAGGAGGCGGTGGCGTGCGTGGAGGCGTTACAGCGCATGCTGAGGTATCTGCACGTGAGCGACGCAAACATGGAAGAGGGGTCGCTTCGATGCGACGTGAACGTGAGCGTGCGCACGAGCGAGGAGCGAGCGAGGGGGGTTTTCGGAGAGAGAGTAGAGATTAAAAACCTTAACAGCCTCCGTAGCATCGCTCGGGCGGTGAAATACGAAGCACAGCGACACGCAAAGGTCTTGGCGGGAGGAGGTAAAATTGAGCGCGAGACGCGCTCATTCGATGTCAACACCGGGAAAACCGTAGTTTTGAGGACAAAAGAGAATCTTCTGGATTATAAGTTCACCCCAGAGCCAGATTTACCGTCGTTAGTGCTTACGTCGGCAGATGTGGAGGCGATAGCCGGTCGGATGCCAGAACTTCCAAATGCCGCGTACGAGCGGTTGGTCAGCGGTGGTGCCTCTCCTTCGGCGTCGAACACCATCGTCGCCTTCCCGTCGACGCTCAAGTACTTTGACGTCGCGATGGAAAATTGTGGGGCGGCGAAATCGGCCGACGTCGCGAATTTTATTGCGAATGAAATCATCGGCGCGGCGCGTAAAGATGCGGGCGCCACGCACAAGGAGCCACTTTCGACTCTACCGCGCGCTGCGTCGGCACGTCGCGTGGGTGAACTTCTAGGTAAAGTAGCGGATGGCACGTTGAGCGGACGCATGGCGAAGCAGGTCCTAGAGGCGCTGATGAATAGTGATGAGCGCGCGCTCGGTGACATCGTAGACGACATATGCGGCGGCGGTCAAATCTCCAGCGACGATCATCTTCGTGATATCTGTCATTCAGTCGTACGCGATAAACCCGAAGAGGTGAGATTGCTCCAAGGCGGTAAGTCTAAGCTCATGGGCGCCCTCGTGGGTGAGGTGATGAAGCGCACAAGCGGTCGAGCCAATCCCAAAGACGTGAGTAAGTTGCTCGCCGACATCGTCGCCGGTGAGCCGTAGAATAGACCAATAGCGCTTAATATTAAAAATCGTGGCGATTCAAATCAAATAATCAATTATAGCGACGCCAATCCCTTCTCGAACGCCTGCGCAGCCGCGGGAGCCACCGGGGCACTCCCGACATAGACGTCGAGCAACGCCTGCGCGAAAACAGTCGAATCAAACTCAAGCTTCGTCGCACCCTGCACCTCGATCCCGACCTTGTTCGCCCCTTTCGGTGTCCACGAAATCGCCATCTTCGTCCCTTGCTTCAGGTTGAGCTTGATGAGACCGTCCCGCATGTCGCTCAGCGCATCCAGCGCCTTTTCTTCCTCCAACTCTGCAGCTTCGGCGACCGAGGCCATGAAGTTTCCGTCCTCGTCCTCCTTGGTCGCCAAATTCGTCGCGATCTCTGCGATACGAGGTTTCAACGCCTCGTCTAGCGCCTCGTAGAACGTCTTACCGTCGACATCCCGTGCGAGCTCAATTGCAAGTTCCTTGTCGTAATCGCCCGCGAGCAAACCTTTCCCTCTCTGATCCTTCGCTTTCGCGGCATCGACGTACATGCATAGCGCGTACACCTTAACGTCGATAATGGCGACACGTTTCACGCGCGCGCCGGCGCCGAGGGCGACGAGTCCCGAGGGCGTGGCGTCCGGAAAAGATATCTTCGTCGCCGGGTCGACCGCGGCGCGCGTCGTCGTCCGCGACGTGCGTCGATCGTTTCGTCCCCTGATTGCGCGCGCTTGGGACAAACCAGCGTGAGCGCCGCTCTTCACCGTTCCTCGCGCGGCGTACATCGCTCGAGTTGCGTCGGTTTCTGACGCGCCTGCAACTACCGCTCGCCGTCCCGTTCTCGCGAGACGAGCGCATCGATCTCCTCCGGCGCCAATCCCTCGAACGCGTCGTCCGCGGCGACATCCGCGACGCTTCTACCCTCACGCATTCGTTCGCGAATCACCGCTCTCGCTCGCGACTCCAAATTTTCCTTCGCCGCAGTCGCTCGCGCGCGCCGCTCGAGCTCGCTCTTCGCCAACTTGTGTCCAAAGTACGCCAGAAACGTCCCCGCGACGACGATGAAGACGGCGTTCTGCCATCGAGGGATCTCCGTATCATCGTTTTTCACGTCCACCTCAACCCAGTTGAAGAGCGGGGAGTCGCTCGCGCGGATCTTTCGCTCGGCTGCTTTTTCAGCTCGAGCTCTCAGCTCTTTCTGTTCGGTCGTCTCCTCCGCTTTACGACGCGCGTTCACGGTGTGAGAGACATCGCGAGACGCACACGGATGGTGGACGTCGAGCAGCGTCGCGCGGGCGAGGGAGCGACACCGCTCGGCTGCGCGGCGGAGCATCGCGGGCGGCGCGTTCTGAGGTAACTGTCACATGCGTTTCTAATTTCACAAGCTATTCTTTCGATGCGTCGTCCATCGCCGTGGCCTCGAGCGCGGATTCGGATTCAGATTCTAAGACCTCGACGATGGCTCGAACGACATCGAGTCTATGGGAGATATCCATGTCGGGAGACGCGATTTTCTCCATGAGGAGCGCGTCCAGTTCGGCACGCAGGTGCTTGAACAGGACGGCCACGCGCGGGGCGGATTTAAAGTGGATCCAACCGTCGCAAGATGCTTTCGATCGCTCGTGATCGATTTTGATCTTCCCGCCGAATAGGAGGAGGGGATACGATCCAACGGCCGTGGCGTCTCGAAGGTACACCTTCGTCGTTCGCACTTTTTCGTGATAGAGCAGAAATGGCGAATCGAAGCGATTCAAGCCGTAGCACACCGACGTCGGGTGCAGATGAACGTCGCTGTCGTGTTTCGTGCGCACGGTGACGGAACTGGAGGGATACCGCGATCTCGCACGACTATCGTCCGTCTTAGCCTGAGCGCTGGCGCATGCGACGTTGGGATACAGTCCGGCACAGATTACTGCGCGCACGAGCGCTTCGTTGCCCGCGTTCACGCTTGCCTCGGAGAGAGCGCTCTCCAGTCTATGCCGACGACCTTTCGTCGTTATTTTCGGCGCAAGAACTGGTGAAGGAGCGTCACCGAGAACGCCCGCGCCAGAACGTAGAAATCCAATTTGATCCAACAATTCTGTGTATTGCTGTCGCATCTCCGAAATCTGCTTCAACGTCTGCCCAGAGAGGAAAAGTTTTGAGAGATAGTCGCGCTCGAAGCCTCGGCCTTTTGCTCGCGCGTGCACCCATCCGGCGTAAGCACGCACCAAAGTGAGGTGGTCGCTTGCGTCCGCGGCAATTTTGCGCTTGGCGGCGTCCGCCTCGTCGCGCTTGTCCATCGGAGCCATGAAGGGCGATCTGAATCCAACTCCCGCGGCTATTGTAAGCACAGGATCCAAACAAGAGAACATCGCGCCGTAAAGCATCATTTTACCGAGTCGTGCGTCGACGGGGAGCTCGGCAAGATGGTGTCCAAGCGCCGTGAGCTCGTCCTTGGAGTCCACGGCGTCGAGCTCGTACAAGGACTTCAGCGCTGACGCGATGGCGTCCTCGGGAGGAGGCTCAATCGCCATGGACAAAAACTTGCGAATGTCGCCGAGCCCCAAAATCTTGATCTGCAAGCAAAGAGCATCCAACGGCGTTCGCAAAATTTCTGGCGTCGTAAAATCTTCAAGTACCGTGGCTTCCGTCTTTGTGCTGTACATGTGGAAGCAGTAGCCTTCGCGGACACGGCCAGCGCGACCTCGCCGCTGCCTACTGCTTGCTTTACTGCACCACGCTGTGACGAGCGCAGACATTCTTGTCACTGGATCGTACTGCGTCTCGCGTACACGTCCGCTGTCAATGACGAATACGACGTCTTCAATCGTAATAGATGTCTCTGCGATGTTCGTCGCCATGACCACCTTGCGCACACCCGGTGGAGGGCGACTGAACGTCAGACGCTGCTCTTCGGAACTAAGAGTTGAGTGCAACGGAATGAGCAAGAAGCGCTTTTCGACATCTTCCAAGTTTGCACGGAGCTGATCGTGAAGAGTGCGGATCTCTGCCATACCTGGTAAGAATATCAAGATGGCTCCTTCTTCGTATTCATCAGCAATCAGCGCGACGAGAGACTCCATCAATTCGTAATTGATTTTCTCTTCATCTATCGTCTGCAAGCTTTTCCAAGTAGTCTCACTGTACTCGGGGTACATGTCGCGCGTCTCCTGACGAACTTCACTCATCGCGGTGCGTTCAAACGAGTCTTCCACGGCTTCACGAAGCGCGGCGCCTCGAGCGCCACCCGCACCCGGCATTTTGAACACTCGTCCACCGCGACTGGGCTCAACTCCAAGTGCGAATTCACTGTCTGGCTCGCAAACATATCCGGTGGCTTCTATCGCATCCTCCAACCTGTACTCTGTCACGGGAAACGTTCTTCCCGGGATCTCGACAACTGGACATGTCGTGTGAAGATGTCCTTCAAAATAGTTCTTAAATAATTCGGCGTTGACCGTCGCAGACATAGCAACGAGATGAAAGTCTTTTCTTCTCGCCGTGAGAGAACGAAGAATCACGAGCAAGAAGTCGCTGAGTAGATCACGTTCGTGAACCTCATCGACAACGACGTGCGAAACACCCGTCAAATTTGGGTCGGTTTGCAAACGACGCAATAGAATACCGGTAGTGCAGAATAGCATGCGAGTCTTTTCGCTTTGCCTACTCTCCAATCGGATGCTGTAACCAACGCTATCGCCGATCCGTTCACATCTTTCATTCGCGACACGTTCCGCAACTGCGATTGCAGAAAGACGGCGAGGCTGCGTGATGATTATGTTTGTCTCTCCGCCCTTGCCAGCCCTGATAGCTTCTTCGAATATGAACTGCGGCACTTGCGTGGTTTTACCACAGCCTGTTGCACCGCTGATCACCGCCGCGCTGGAGGCTTCGATGGATTCAAGGACCACAGATTTCAATTCACTCGCAGGAAGCTTCCTTCTCACCTCTTGCATGTCTCTCCACTCTTTTGATTTCTCTTTCGCGAGTTCCAGTTCGAGTAGTTTTCGACTAATCTCCGCTTTTTGCGCGATGCTTTCCTTCTCCATGCGAGTGCTTGATACGCCAGCCAGGACACTCGCTGTCGCTGTCGCGAGCGCATCTTCCTCGTCATCGTCCGCTGTCGCCGACGTGTCCAGTCCCGCCTTCTTCACTTGGTTCGCAAGCCATCCTAGCTTGGCCTTTGGCTTGCTACCCGCAGGATGCGCTTCATGTGTACTTGCTTGTGCCTTGTGTGCGTTCGGGACAATTTTCTTCTTCACTTTTGTTGCACGCGCGCTTGCCGCTTGCAGACGATGCGTGTGCTCGCGCTCCCAACGTGCCAGCTTCGCCTCCAACGAATTATCTTCAACGTTCCCAAACTCTTGGTCTCCCTCTCTAGATTCTAATCGCTTCGCTTCCGCAGGCTCTTCCGCTTCCTTCTCGGCCCGGACCTGCTCCTCAGCCATCATCGCTCGAAAATATTCAATTCGCTTTCGCCGCTCTGCCTCAGCCTCCTCCTCCTTTGCTTTATCTGCATCCAATCGCGCGTACGTCCTTTTGATGTGCGCACCGAGGCCTCTGAGCACGAATTCATCAGAGATCGTTTCGTCCTCATCGATCTGCACGCGTTTGGACTCGTCGTCGAGAATGCCGCGTTCGGCGAGAATCGTCGGCATGTTCTCTCGCAGCCACACGACCATCGCGTACACGGCGGGCTCACCCATGTACGCGCTCGCCTGCGCAGCTATCGTCGCGTTAACCGAGCGGCGCACTTGTAACGGCAGCTTTTCGTGACGAACGACCAGTAGAGGTGCTTCCGCGGGGTACACATTATCCGTAGGAAAATGGACCTCAAGCTCGCACGGCAACCACTGAACGCCGTTCGCGTCCTCTTCCAGATCGACTCGAATCCTCCAAAACTTCCCCTCGTCTTCAATCTTGAAACTTGTATCTAAGATTGCCTCTAACGCCATGGCTTCTTCCGCGCGCTCTTCCTTCATCGCGTCGATGTCAGCTCCCGTCTGCGTCGTCTGTCCGACTGGTTGTAACGCTTTCAGCAGCGCAAACGTGGCATCTTCCTCCACCCATCCAGCCGACTCCAACGCCTCGCGAGATTCTGCCCTCGAAAATCCCATAGAAATTAAACGCCCGAGCATCGCCCGCTGGAGCAGAACGACATACGGATCATCCACGCGAGTATCGCTCACTGTCGCCGAGTTCACCACAGTCGTCGCGCCGACGTCGAGGGACGTCTTCGATCCTACGTTATTCGTCGTCTCACTCAGACGCGCGAACGCCTCGGGCATATCATCTTTCGGTACTCGAATGCACAACCAATCCAATATCGAGCTCAGCCTCTCGAGGGCGTGCTTCTTAGTTTCTCCCACCTCTGGGTTCGCGCGTATCGCCTTTTCCGTCCACTCCTCATCGAATCCCTTCTCGAGCACTCGACGCCGTAGCCGGTCCTCCCTCATGCGTTTTTCCCGCAAAACCCTCTCAGCTTCCTCTCTCTCCGACAACGCTTTCGCCGCCTTCGCGGCGACGCGCGCGCTGTGTCGCTCCTGTTCACTAATCGCGTCCAAAACCGTCGCCGCTGAAGCCATCCGTCGTGGCGCCGTCCCGCTCGCCAACCCCTCTGCCCGCCCTCGAACGATCGGTCCCGAGAGATCTGCCGAGGCCAATCGCTCGCGCGCGATCTCGACTTCGGATTTCTGTACCTCCACCGCCCCGGACGCGCCCAAGCGCGCCTCGTCCTCCTCGACGCGCCTCAACAAGAGCTCGCGCACGCTCTCCGCGCGTTGCTCCGTCATGTGTAAAACCTGCATCGACGCCGCCTCTCCATCCGCGTTCTTCCCCGATCGAGCGCCCGGAACGATACCTAAACCATCGACGCCGTACGTGACGCTCTCGGAATCGCCCTCCGTCCCTGATTCGTCCGCGCGCGAGCCGAGTTTTCGATGAATCCAGTTTGCGTTGGAGTGGTCTTCGTCGTCGGTTTCAATCTTTACGCGAACGTTTAGGACCTCGATCGCCCCAGACGGACGCGTGGGCGGTTTAGGCGGGCGTCGCCGCCGCGCGGGCGGCATTTTATCGAACGAAGCGCGCGCGAGGCGTCGACGTGTCGGGTATTTCGTTCAACTATACATTTCATGGAGCGCTCACGCGGCGCGCCAGTCGCGGTTGTTCAGTCCTCGCGGCGCGCTTCCGAACGGGTTGAACCCGCGGTCGGGACCGGTGGCGACGATGGTGTTGATTTGCTTGAGCTGGCGCTTCGCACGTCCGCTCGGGCGCACCGAGCCGCGACCGGTGACGATCCAAAAGATGGAGCGCAGGGCGTACGCGAGAGTCCAAAACGTGATTCTGAAGGGCGTGGACGCGACGTACATCACGGCGTTTTCGGCACCGAGCGTGCTCGCGAGGTAGCGAACCGTCATCATCCAGCGAACAACGACGTTTTCATTCGTCCGAGTATCGCCCCACAGTCGACGCTCGACTTCCATCGTCACTCTCTCCGTCTCCTCGACAGTCACCGTCTCAGCGACTGGCGAAACCTTAAATTTGAACAAAACACTCCCATCGCGCAAATCGACCCGTTCGCACTCCAACGCTTTTTTTGCCTGCGCGTTGAGAACACTCGTCAGTCACCGCTCCCGCGTCGCGTCGCGCATCGCTCGCGTCGCAAAATATTAAACCAACGCACGCACCCGCTGCTTCACGAGCGACTCCACCTCGCGTTTCACCTCCGTCTCCAGCAACTGGCCCCGCATCTCGCGTTCCAACGCGCGTCGACGATCGATCGCCTCTTCCGCTCGATTTCTCTTCCTCGCGCCGTCCGCCGGTCGCATCGCGCCCTTCGCTCTCCGCGCCGCGCGCGACATCGGTCCGGATAACCCGCGTCTCGCGCTCGCGAGCTCCCTCGCCGTCGCCATCCCTCGAGCCGCGCCGCCGCCCCGGGTGTCGTACGGATCCTCATAAAATGACGCGCCGACGAACGATCGCGCACCGCCGCCGTTCGGTGTTCTCGCCGTCGCGGGCGCGTCTTCTGATCTCTCGCGACGATTGTTATTAGATGCGCTCGCGATCGCCCCGGGCGTTCTCAACGCGCGTCTGCGAGCGATGGACGCGCGGTGCGCGGTGCGGACGACGCGGGCGACGTCGGCGTCGACGCCGAGCGAGGTGGACGTGCGCGCGCGCATGGTGCGACGTGGACGCGTCGGATTTTGACGTTTTCGAAATTTCTTTCCCGCCAAATCGACTTGACGGTTCGTGACTCGTCGGCGAGGGACTTGAACGTTCGAATCCAGTTCGGCAGCTTGGACAGCTCGGCCCTCTTCGCGGATGGAAACCGACGCGACGCCGTCGATATTTATTACTTTCACTGATTCAATCCTCTATTCTTCAGTCGCGATCGACGGTCACCCCGAGCGACCGCGAACGACCGGGGCGAGTCGCCCGCGGAGCGCGGCGACGGTGCCGCTCGCGTCCAAGCCGAGCTCCTCGCACAGCGCCGCGAGCTCCGCCTTCTTCATCTTCGACAGCGGCGTCGCGAGCCGTCGCGACACCGATCCATCGTCTTCATCCGAGGATTCCCCGACCCACGTCGGACCGTCATTCACCGCCGACGGCGCGGTCACCGTCTCCGCGCGCTCCGGCTCTGGCGTCCGCGCGTCCGCCGCGTCCGCCGTCGCCGCCTCCGTCGCCGTCTCCAGCGCGTCCTCCACCACCGTCGCCGCGTCGTCCTCCATCACCGGCGCGTCGACGTCGAATTGAAACGTCACCGCGCCGTCCGCGTGCGTCACGCGCGCCGTGCGCGAGGTCGCGTCGTACGACCGTTCGAGCGCTCGAACCGTCCCGCGCGCACGCGCGCGCGGCGTCGTCCGTCCATCGCGCGTCGTCCATCGTCCGAGCGCGGCGGCGCGCGTCGGCATACTCGTCCGCATCGCGCGCGGCGTCGCGGTGTCGCCCGTCGTCCGTCGCCCGTCGCGGTGTCGCGCGCGTCGACGCGGATGATGGCGCGAGGTGGATCAAACGACGGGTCGTGACTCGTGAAAGAGTCCCTCAACCGTGGATTCGCCATCGCCCATCGCCCATCGCCCATCGCCATCGCCCATCGGTCGATGGACCCCGAGGCGCGACGCGCGCTCGAGCGCCTGCGCGCGGCGGCCGACGGCGACGCGCGCGCGTTCGATGCGATGACGGTGCGCGCGCGCGGACGCCGCGACGACGCCATGGGCGCGATGGTGACGCGACGGCGGATGGGCGGCGGTGCGACTGACGGCGGCGTGGACGACGACGACGCAGGCGACGGAGACGCGCGAGCGATTAACGCGATCGAGAGAGATACACGCGCGAATCGCCGACGCGCTGGACGTGGAGGTGGCGCGGCGACGGCGGTTGATGGAGGCGTTCGCGCGCGCCGGGACGGCGCCGCCGCGGGAGGACGACGACGCGCGCGCGGACGCGCGCGCGACGGTCGACGCGTCGTCGACGGTCGATCTCGATGCCCCGGATGGTGATTTGAGCGATGTCACGAACGCCAAGGCGGCGCTCGCGCGGTCGCAGGCAAAGGCGAGGATGACGTTGGCCGAGGCGTCGAAGACGCGCGCGAGAAACGACGCGTTGGAGAAAGCGCTCGCGGACGCCGGCGTGGAGATCCCGCGAGCCTGTGAATAGGTCAACGCACGCGCATCGATCGAGCATCGTTTCTTCGCGGTCGTCGTTCTCGCGCACCGAGCGTTCGCGTCGCCGAGAACGTGATTACCCGCGTCCCGCGTCCCGCGTCCCGCCCGGGTGGTGAAAAAGCCGTTACATCCCTCGTCGCACATCGCGCCGCGTCGCACCGCGCGCGTCGCCGGACCCCCCTTCCGCGCGCTCGATCGATGAACCCGATCCCTTTCGTCGCCTCGAGCGCCCCGAACGCGTCGTCGCCGACGTCGCGACGCGCGAGAGCGACGCGCGATGTCGACCCCGACGTTGCCGTGCTCGATTACTGGGAACGCGTTCGTCGAGGCACGGAGCGCGCGCCGAGACCAGGGGCGGAGGCGCGGGCGAATAAACGACGGTGCGCGCACCTGGAGAGTCGGATCGGTGACGTCCTGGGATGGGGCGGGGCGTCGAGGGATTTCGACGGCGGCGAGGCGGATGTCGATGAGGACGCGCTCGCCGTCGGGGAGAAGCTCACGGAGACGGACGTGGAGCGATTGAAAGCGCGGGCGAGGGAAGAAGTCGGGACGACGCTGGACGCGACGGAGGTGGAGCGGTTGAAATCGTTCGGTGAGACGAGACGAAGCGACTCGGGACCGCGGACGACGTTCGTGGAGGAGTCGTACTCGATGCCGCTCGCGCCAGAGAGCGAGCCATTCGACGACGGCGGGACGGTTGCGGATGAATTCTTTGAGTACGGTCGGGACGAACTTCCGAGGCATTTACGAGATTGGTACGCGCCACCGGCGCAGGAGTACGGGTCGTTCGTGGCGGACTCGAAGCCGGCGGCGGGCGCGTACAACTGGAGGTCAGACGAGAATCGATACACCACGGTGAGGAACTTGCGGTCGCACGGATTGTGGTGACGGTCGTTGAAAGATGCCCTATTGTATATCACAAATCGATCATCAGAGTTGACTGATGCACAAACCGCCGCGTTGCAATGAATAATTATTTATGCGCTGCACGTCAAGCAACCGTACGTGTATCGCGGCTTTTTCTTCTTCTCCTCCGATTTACCCCAGTCCACCGTGGGCCAACCCTTTTCCTTCGCGTACTTCTTCAGCCGCGAGTCTGGGTTGACGCACACCGGATGCCCAACGTTCTCTAACAGTTTGACGTCGGACATGCTATCGGTATAAAAATAGCAGTCGCGAAGATTGATCCCGTTTTTGTCGCACCACTTTTTTGTCGTCTCGTACTTGCCATCGCCGTACGCTACGACTTGGATCGTTCCATCCATTCGACCGTCCGCGTCGACGCCCATGTGACTCGACACGATGTTCTCCCTACCCGTTTCCAAGCCATAAATCTCCGCTCCAATCTCTGCTGGGTGCTGCCAGGTTGACGTGCACATGACGCAGCGCACGCCTCGCGCCTTGTGCTCGTCCAAGACCGTCTTAAACCCCGGTCGTGTCCTATTCGCCAGATCCATGCGAAAGAAATTCTCGATGCGCTCGCGAAACGAGTCCTCCGTCTCGCCCTTGTATAGCAGAGCCGCGTCCCGTCCCGCCGTCTCCGCGCCGTCTCCGTACCCGAGCGCGTACCTCGAGAACCAATACAGCGCCGTCCCGACGTGCCCAACGCCCACGCGTCCGCTATTTATCTCACTCTTCACCCACAACCACGACGAGTTGACGTCGACGATGGTGTGATCGAGATCGAAGAAGGCGACCGCGTTCCGTCCTCCGGACGCGCCGCCGTCCTCGATCGCGCCTCCATCCGTCACCGTGGACCCCAGCGCGGCCTCCGCCCCCCTCTCCGTCGTCGCGCGCAACGCGTCCGCGCGCGCGCGCGCCTCGACCACGTCCGGCGCGACGTCGGCGACCTCCTTCGCGCGTCCGTCGTCTCGCTTGGTCGACGTCGTCTCCGGCGCGCGATTCTCTCTCGCGCTGTCGCTCTCATCCTCCCCGCGCGCGCGCTCGCGCGCTCGCGCGTCGGCGGACATCTCCGGCATCGACGTCCAGCCGCGCGCGTCGCCGTCCGGCGCGCGCGTCCGCGCGAGCGCGTCGCGCCGACGACGCGCGTTTAGTGTTCACCGGTCGCTCGGCGTCGAAAGGCGTTCGCGGGCGACTCGAAAGGCGTCGACCGGTGCGCGGTGAAAGGTGTGATGCCTTTCGAGACGTCGAAGGTCACCTTTCGAGCGCACCGCGGTCGACGCGATGGCGTCGTCGCAGTCGTCGTCGTCGGCCGTCGGCGATGTCGCGCGCGCGGGCGCTCGCGCGCGCGGCGGCGACGACGGTGGGGACGGCGCGCGCGGTGGTGGACGCGCGCGGCGCGCGGTGGATGACGCGCGCGTCTGGGGCGACGCGAGCGCCGAAGAGAGACGACGACGCCGGTGAAACGAACGCGACGAGCGACGCCGGGAACGCTCGACGCGGCGCCGAGGGGGATGGACGCGAGGGCGAGACGCCGTCGACGTCGTCGTCCGCGATGGTGGTGTCCACGGCGGTGGCGAGCGTGTGCCTGACGAGCGCGACGCTCATGGCGGGACACGCGTGCGCGTCGCCGGTGCTTCCGATGTTGGCGCGCGACTTTGGGGCGAACGCGACGGAGATCGGGGCGGTGATGAGCGCGTTCGCGGGTGGGAGGTTGTTGTTTAATCTACCGTGCGGGTGGTTCGCGGATAAGTACGGACGACGGCCGCTGATGATTGCGGGACCGGCGGTGTCGACGGCGGGCATGGTGTGGAGTTATCTGAGCGGGGGGTTGGGCGAGCTCTTGATGTCGCGAACGGTGGCGGGCATCGGGAGCTCAATGTACATGAGTGGGGCGACGGCGATGTTGGCGGATCTCTCGACGAGGGACACACGGGCGAGGATATTAGGGGCGAACCAAGCGGCGGTTCTCGCCGGCGCGGCGGCGGGACCCGCCATCGGTGGCGCCATCGCCGGGGCGGAAGGAATGTCCATTAGATCACCGTTTCTTGCCGTTGGAACGCTGAGTTCGTTCGCGTCGATGTACAGCCTGATGCGGGTAACGGAGACGCGACCGGCGGAGATGAAGGCGGATTTTGCGCCGAGCAAGCACTGGTACTGCGACGGACATCCAATCGAGGACACGAAGATGTGCGTGGAACTCGATGGTGAGGGTAAATCCGTCGTGCATCGAGACGGTCATACGTACGAATTGATAGAAACGTCCACGCCGTCTCCGGCGTTGGATGCAGACACGGCGCAAGACGCGGCGATGGGTCGTCTCGTCAAGTCACCGGATTTCTGGGCTGTGTGTGGGTTGAATTCGGCGCTCTTCTTCTCCGGAGCTGGCGGTCGCGGGACGTTGCTTCCAATCTTAGCCTATCAAACGTTTGGTTTCACACCCGAATCCCTGGGCGCGCTCTTCAGTGCGATGGCAGTGACGAGCTTGCTCGGTCTCGGACCAGCAAGCGCGATTACTGACGCTGTCGGTCGCAAGGCGGTCATCGCCCCGTGCGTCGTCGCCTCCGCCGCTTCGGTCGCACTCATGGGTAGCACCGCAGATGCAACGACGTTTACGATTGCCTCCATCCTGTGGGCCGCCGCGGGGAGCTTGATGGGAACCGCTCCTGCGGCGTATGCCGCGGACATCTCGCCGAAGAATATTCGCGGGAGCGCTCTAGCTATGTATAGAACGTGTGGTGACGTGGGTTTACTCCTCGGCCCGCTCGCTCTCGGCGCGCTCGCGGATGAGGTGGGCATATCCGCCGCGCTCGGCGTGAACGCCGCGCTTTTGACCGTCTCCGGAGCCGCGTTCCATTTCACCGCTCGGGAGATTCGTCGCAAAGCGAAAGTTGAGGCGAAAAAGCTCTGACATTAACCCACGGCGTCGTCGCGAGCCGTCATCGAGGAGGCGATATCGCGTGTGGTCCTCGTGTTGTATAATTTACATATGATTTACCGAACGGCCCGGCTCCTACTCCTCGCTCTTCGCCTTTCCCGGAGAAACGTAAAACTCACCCGCCGAATACTTGGCCTCGCGCAACAACCGTCCCCGATCCACGCTCGCGAGCTCCGTCTCCCCCGTCCCCGCCCCCACTCGCGCGCTCGCATCGAACCGCATCCTCAACCCCTCTCCCGTGACCGCATTCGTCTCCCTCGTCGTCCACATCGCCTCCGCCGTCTCCGCCTCCTCCGCCTCGTCCAACCGCGCGCACATCTCCAAGATCTCCTCCACGTCCCGCACGAACACCGCGCGCTCGTCCGCGTCGCTCGGCGCTTCCAAACCCGCCAACGCGATCGCTCGCATCGTCTCCCCCTCGTTCGCCCGCGCGCGCGTCGACGCGCGCGTCGTCGTCGTTTCCTCGACGCTCCACGCCGCCGTCGTCCGCATCGTCCCGTGCGCGCTCGCGCGCGCCCAAGACGCCTCCGCACCGCTCGCCCGCGCGGCGATCGACGCCGCGGCGAGCGCTCGAGCCGCGCGCGCGCGCGCGGACGCCATCGCGCGCGCGTCGCGCGGACGCCGCGGGACGATCGATGGCGTGCGTCGACGAGTCACGACTCGGACGATCGACGCTTTCGCACATCGCGACGCGCGCGCGCGACGGGCGTCCACCGAACGCGCGCGCTCGAGCGATCGCGCGCGCGTAGACGGGCGCTCGACCGAACGCGCGCGCGATCGGACGCGGCGTCGGGGACGGAGGGAGATTTGAATTTTGAATCGCCCGCGAGCTGTCTCTGAGACTGTGATTTCAAACCGCGCGCGCGATGTCGAGGTCGAAGACGCCCGCGTTCAGCGGTGGTGGGGCGACGCACAAGGCGAATCTGTACGGGGAGTCTCGGTTGGGGGTGCGAGGTGGTCGAGGGACGCGTGGGGGACGAGGCGGGCGCGGAGGACGGGGGTACGTCGGCGGCGACGGACGGGCAAAGGCGCAGATCGCGGCGGAGGAAGACGCGTTGCACGCGGAGCTCGGGTTCGGGACGCACTCGGGTGGAGATGATCGAATCGGATGGTTGATCAACGTGAGTAGCACGCAGGTGGAGGATAAGGAGAGTGGGAAGGCGTTTGCGGCGGTGAATCTGTACTTCATGGAGCAGGACGGGTCGACGTTCAAGGCGCAGGTGAAGTACAAGCCGTACTTTTACGTCGCGACGAAGACGGGGTGCGAGCACGAGGTGGAGGCGTTGTTGCGACGGCGGTACGGCGAGCAGATCGCGGACGTGGTGATGGAGGATAAGGAGGATTTGGATTTGAAGAACCACCTGAGCGGGTTGAAGCAGACGTATTTGAAAGTCGAGTTTCTCACCGTGCAAGAACTCATGGATGTTCGTCGAGAAATCTTACCCATCGTGTCTAAGAATAAAAAGAAAACCTCCGCGGCGTCGGCGTACGAGGCGTTGTCGCGTCAGGAGAGCATCGACGCCGGCAATAAGCCCAGAAAGCTGCAGCTGACGGATTACGAGGAGGCCATGGTGGACATTCGCGAGTACGACGTGCCGTATCACATGAGATACTTGATCGACGAAAACGTGCGTTGCGGGATGTGGTATAACGTTCATGTCGAGCAGGGTAACGCCCGGGTGACGTTACAAGATGCCAAGTCAGGAAACGATATGCTTGAGGTGAAGGGGGAGCCGCGCGTGTGCGCCTTCGACATCGAAACGACCAAGCTTCCACTCAAGTTTCCCGACGCCGAGCACGATCAGGTGTTTATGATATCGTACATGCTCGACGGCCAGGGGTATTTGATCACCAACCGTGAGATTGTGAGCGAAGATGTGGAGGATTTCGAGTACACACCGAAGGAGGAGTACCAAGGTCCGTTCATCGTCTGGAACGAGGCAAACGAACAGGCTCTCCTACGCAGGTGGTTCGATCATATGCGCGAGGCGCAGCCGAGCATTTACGTGACGTACAACGGTGACTATTTCGATTTTCCGTTCATCGAGACGAGAGCGAAGAAGAACGGCATGGACATGTACCGCGAAATCGGATTCAAGTGCGAGCAGTCTGGTGAGTGTCGCAGCACGTCGGCACTGCACTTGGATTGCTTCTGCTGGGTGAAGCGTGACTCGTATCTCCCGGCCGGTTCGCACGGTTTGAAGGCGGTGACCAAAGCAAAATTGAAGTTCGACCCGGTCGAAGTGGATCCCGAGGACATGTTGCCGTTCGCGCAGAGTCGTCCGCAACACATGGCTCAGTACTCAGTCTCAGATGCCGTGAGCACCTACTACTTGTACAAGAAGTTCGTGCATGACTTTATCTTTGCGCTGTCGACCATCATTCCTCTATCGCCGGACGAGGTGCTCCGAAAGGGATCAGGGACGCTCTGCGAGTCTCTACTCATGGTGCAGGCGTACGAAGGTGAGATTGTCTGCCCGAACAAGCAAGTCGGCGCCGGAGAGCAATATTACAACGGGCACCTACTGAACAGCGAGACGTACATCGGTGGACATGTTGAGTGTCTTCAAGCGGGCGTGTACCGCAGCGATATTCCTTGCGATTTCAATTTGACTCCAGATGGGTACCAAAAGCTTTTGGATACTCTCGATGATGATCTCAAGTATGCCCTGGAGGTGGAAGGCAAGATGAAGCAATCAGACGTCTCCAACTACGACGAGATTCGGGCGGCTATCGTAGAAAAGTTGGAGTTCCTTCGCGACAACCCGCGAATCAAGAGTAAACCGCTGATTTATCACTTGGACGTCGCAGCGATGTACCCAAACATCATTTTGACGAACCGGTTGCAACCGGCGGCAATGGTGACCGAGGACGTGTGTGCCGCATGCGATTACAATCGTCCGGGCAAAAAATGCTTGCGAGAGTTAGAGTGGGTTTGGCGCGGCGAACACTTTGCCTCAACCTCGAGCGAATACGCGCAAATCAAAGCACAGTTGCAAGTGGACACTTTCCCGGCGGCTGACCCTGGCGGCTCATCGCGAACGTGGTATGAGCTCTCCTACGAGGAACAGCAAGAGCAGAAGAAGAATCGTCTCAAAATGTACACGCAAAAGGTCTACAGGAAAGTCATGGAGAAACCTGTGACCGCCACGAAGACGGCTGGTATTTGTCAGCGGGAAAACGCGTTCTACATTGACACTGTAAGAGCTTTCCGCGACCGTCGCTACGTGTACAAAGGAAAGAACAAAGAGGCGGGTAAACAGTTAGAGGCGGCGAAGCAAGCCGGGAGCATCGCTGACATTCAGCAAGCCGCCAATAATGTTGTGTTGTATGATTCCTTGCAGCTCGCGCACAAGTGTATTTTGAATTCGTTCTACGGGTACGTCATGCGCAAGGGCGCTCGATGGTATTCAATGGAAATGGCTGGTGTTGTGACAAACACTGGTGCGAAAATCATTCAAATGGCGAAACAACTCGTCGACGATATTGGTATGCCTCTAGAATTGGACACGGATGGTATTTGGTGCTGCTTACCGTGCGAGTTCCCGGAGGATTACACGTTCACAATGAAAGGCGAAGGCAAGAAGCCGTACCAGATTTCCTACCCTTGCGTCGTCCTCAACCGAATGACTGCGGTTCGTAACACGAACGACCAGTACCTGACGTTTGATGAGAAGACGGGAACTTACAAGCAGAGCTCGGAAATGAGCATCGAGTTTGAGGTTGACGGACCGTACAAGGCGATGATTCTTCCAGCGTCGAAGGAGGAAGGTGTGCTAATCAAGAAACGCTACGCGGTCTTTGATGAAGCTGGGAAGTTGGTGGAGTTGAAGGGTTTCGAACTGAAGCGTCGCGGTGAACTCAAGTTGATCAAGGTGTTCCAATCTGAAGTGTTTGATTACTTCTTAAAGGGCGAAACGTTGGATGGAGTGTACCAAGCTGTCGGTGCCATTGCCAACCGTTGGTTCGATATGCTCAAAACAAGAGGAGCGAAGTTCGACGACGAAGAGCTCATGGAGTACATTTCTGAATCCAGCGTTATGAGTAAGCCAGCGATCGATTACGGTGATCGAAAGTCTACCTCACTCACCACAGCGCGACGCTTGGCACAGTTCCTTGGCGCTGATCTGGTCAAAGACAAAGGCCTGGTGTGTAAGTACATTATCTCCAAGAAACCTCTTGGGGCTCCAACATCGCAACGCGCGATTCCTGTGAGTATCTTCAACGCGGAAGTCTCTGTCGCAAGATCTTTCTTGAAGGAGTGGACGAAAGACAACGACCTCTCAGGTGAAGATGACGAGATGCCGGATATGCGCGATCTCGTCGACTGGGAATACTACAAGACTCGTCTTGCTGGGGCGATCCAAAAGATTATCAGCATCCCAGCGGCGCTGCAAGGTGTCGAGAATCCATGTCCGGATGTCAAACTCCCCGATTGGCTGAATAAGCGCATTAGGGAGAAGAACGACAAGTTCGCTCAACAAGACTTGAAGAAGATGTTCCGAGCTCAATTCGCAGCTGGAGCGCCACTTGCCAAGAAGGATCTGAACATGTTGGACATTGAAGACAGTTTCACGGGCACGCCCAGTCGCGCTCGCGCTCGATCACTTCTCACGAACGGAGACGCACCGAGAACTCCTGAGCAGGTCGTGACGCCGAACGGTAAAGCTCCACGAACTCCTGGATCCGCGAGCGCGACGGAGGCGCCGGACAGAGAGACGGATTATGATGGTTGGCTGAAGTTTTACAAGGCGAAGTGGAAGACTTTGCGAGCAAACATCAAGCGCCTGCGAGTCGAGGACGAGAAAGAACGCGCTGCGGCGGAAAGAGAAGGTGGGGTGGTGAGAAGAAGACGTAGATCGGGAGCGATCGGTCTCGAATCGTTTGTGGAATCGCGCGAAGAGACGATCGCGCACTCCATTATGCACATCATTCAAGTCGAGGAGACGCGCACTCCCGGCGTGTTCGCCGTTTGGGTGTACGTGAACGGAGGCATGCAGTCCATCAAGATTGATATTCCTCGACGCCTCGTGATTGCAACCCGAGAGGCTGATCCTGAGGGCGAATTCGGCAAGGCGGACAAACATCGAATTGTCGCTTCGCTTCCACGCGGATTCACGTCACCTCATCTGTACGAAGTGAACGTCCCAGAGCGAACGCTATCAGCCGGAGTAGATATCTCTGCGCTTCTCGCTGATCCGAACGTCATCGGAGTGTACGAAAAACACGTTGATCTGGCGGATAGATTCATCTATAACGTTGGATGTGTCATGGCTGTGAAGAAGACGGAGCAAAAGCGCGCTCTTGAAATCAGTGACAACACGTACTCCATGGACATGTTCCAGATGAAAGCCACGGGGGAAATCAGTTCGTATCTTCCGAAACTCTGCCACATAGGATTTTACTTCGCTGGTATCGCAGGCGACAAGGGTCGCGGTATCTACGTGTTGCACAACAGTCGCGACGGTAGAGGAACGGTGATTGTTCACCAGCCCGGTGGGCGAGCCGTTCGGGAAATCAACCCCGAAGTTTGGTCCGAATCACTTCGCTCCGCTCTTGGGCAAGAGCAAAGTGCCGAAGAACGAACTGATTTCACCATGGCTGATGCGCAAAACTGGACCGTGTTGTACGCGAGGAACATGGAGCAAGTTGGCAAGCACTTGAATCATGCTATGGGCCTGTACATGTCCACCACTTCTGGTGGCACCATACTTCTCGTACAAGCTCCCGCAAACGCTGGTGTAGATCCATCACAAGATGCGTCGTCGATCAGACAAGGTTTAGCGGGTAGGCTGGGAGCGCTGATGCCCGCTTCCGGACGGCTTCCTATCGTGTTCAGGCCACCAAACTTGTCTGACTGCGATTTGAACCAGGACGCGGCGCAAGGCTGGCAGCTCGACGTCGCGAAGACGGCCACCATGCGTATCACCGGTAACTCTGAGTGGTTACAGAGGTACATTGAAGTTGCGAGCTACGCGCACATTCCCATCGGCAACTTGAAATCAGATTGGTGGGTGCACACCGCGGACACATTTTTCGCTCGTTCACTTCAGGACGACGATCAAGTTTTGTGGAGCGGACCAAGTGGCGAGCCCGATCTCGGGGGTGGAGCGAGTGCAGTGTCGCTGAGCGGACTCGATGATACGTACGGGGCTACGCGCATGGAAGTGAGTGCTCCTGGCGCGTATCGCAGTGTTTGCGTTGAGTTGCAAGTGCATCACCTCGCTGTGTGCGCCATTTCCAAGTCTGGCATTTTGAACGACCTCGAGCAAGGCGCATTATTGGGCTTTGAGACTGGCACTAAGGGAACGACACGTGTAGGAGGACACGAATCCGCTGGAGCCTTCAAGACGCTTCGGAAGCTCGTAGAAAACTGGCTCAGAGACGCGACGGATCGGCACAATCATTACGCCGATGAGTTGCTGTCGCAGCTTCACCGCTGGCTGTTCAGTCCATTTTCGGTGCTAAGAGATCCGGCTCTGAAGAACCTGGTAGAACTCTGCATGAAGAAGGTGTTCACACTTTTATTGGCTGAGCTTCGAAAGCTCCAGGTGGACGTTGTTTACGCGGACATGCGAAGAATCATAATCGCAACGGGCAAACACGATCTCGCGAGCGCCTCTTCATGCGTCGAAGGTGTGACACATGCGCTGCGTCAGCGAGAGCTCTTTTCTTGGCTTCAACTCGATTCCGTCAAGCAATGGCATTCGCTTCTTTTCCGAGGACCATTCGATTACGCTGGGATCACGGCCGCGTCGTTGCCGGGTGAGAGCCAGTGGCAAGACTCGATTGCACCGAACGATGCGTCGCTTGATCCGTTGGCGTTTCATAACAGTGAGGGTGCGCTGGACATGCACTGGAACATCGCGCGATTCTTACCAGAGTCGATTCAGGACCACTTCCATGCTATCGTGGGCGAGTTCCTGCTGTTGCCGTGGAAGTTCGAACAAAACGGAGGTGACGAGCCATATCGCGGACGAACTCCCGTCAAATTCAGGGCAATGGAGGACAGTGAATCCGACGATGATTTGAACTGCGATCTGAACTCTGCATCTGATGATGAGCTGCCGATGGCACAGAGGCACCCAGGCACGCCCAGCATCGCTCACAATAGTAGAGATCTGGAGAACCTGGAGAACGAGAAGGTGAGCTGGTTGGTGAGACAGATTGATTCACACTTTTCGCCAAAGCTGCTCCGTTACGCGCAGGAAATTCAAAAGGTTCTCGGCATCCCGGGTCCGCGCTCGCCGGCTGAGCACCAGTTCCCGACGCCACCAGGCTCTCATCTTTCGAAAGAGATTCGAGGCACGCCTGCACTGGCGTTCGTCAAGACGGTGATCGCGGTGCTGTCGCTCGATGCTAGCGTTGCTGATTCCGTGTCGCTTCTACGACGCAACGCATTAAAGATGATTCGCGTGGGCGAGTTCGCCCCCGAGGCTGAGTTCATCGAGCCGTGCGTCTCTTACACGCTCCGAGACGTCATCTGTTCCGCATGCTGCGACTGCCGCGATCTGGATCTGTGCCGCGATCCCGATCTCGCCGCTGGTCACTGGGCGTGTTCGTACCGTGACGAACATGGATTGCTATGCGCTCAGCCGTACGACAGGCAGTGGGTCGAGGGCGCCCTCGTCGCCGAGGTGAACGATCGAGTGCGCAAGTATCAACTTCAAGATCTCAAATGCGTCCGCGACGGTCGCGTCAAGGTCGGTCACCTCGGAAATAGATGCGCGTGTGGCGGTTTGTTCACCTGCTCCGCCAAGGATGGCTCGCTCGGCGACGACCTGCGCGTCTTCTCCAGCATCGCCGAAGCGCACGATTTCAACATCCTCCGCGAAACTGTGAGCTGGGTGCGATCGAACGCGTTCACGTGTGTACCTACGTCGTAGTTTAGCACCATTTTGTCACGCACACGATTGACGTGAACCGCCGCGCGCTCCGCCGCGCGCCGCCGCTCGCGCCGTTCGCCGCCGTCAAACCCCACTCGTCGTCGCTCGACGTCGACGTCGTTCGCCATGACCGACCCCGGTCGGCCGCATCCCTCGTTCGCGTCCACGGCGCCCCGTCACGCGCGCGCGGATGCCCACGAGCGGATCGAACGCGCGTCGTCGTCATCGATCGCCCGCACCGTGCTCATCCCCGCCGTGCGCGAGTCCCTCGCTTCATCGCGCGACGAGACGTACGCGCGCGTCGCCGGTCGCACGCCCAGGTTCGCTCTCACGTTGTTGAGCGACAAGGCGTTCGCGAACGGGTTCAGCGGGGCGATCGCGGGCACGGTGGCGGCCGCGGTGGTGTGTCCGCTGGACGTCCTAAAGACGCGTCTGCAGGTGAGCAGCGCGGTGCGGGACGCGAGCGCCGGAGATAAGTACCTGAGCACGTACGGGGCGCTGAAGCGAATCGTGCGACACGAAGGGGTAGTTGGGTTGTACAGGGGTTTGGGGCCGACGGTGGCGGCGCTGTTGCCGAATTGGGGGGTGTACTTTAGCGCGTACGGGGCGCTGAAGCGCGTGTTGAGTCCGCCTTCGAGCGCGCGGACGGATGGCGGTGACGTGGGGACGAGTGGAGCGGACGAGAACGGTGCTGGAGAGGTGAAGGAAGCGAATCACTTCGCGCACGTACTCGCGGCGGCGGGCGCGGGGGCGGCGACTATTTTAGTGACGAATCCGTTGTGGGTGGCGAAGACGCGGTTGCAGGTGCAGCACTCAAAGGCGCTCGCCGGGGCGCTTCCGAAGCGGGCGCATTACACGTCCACGGTGGACGCGCTCACGCGAATGGCGCGAGAGGAGGGATTACGCGGGTTGTACAGCGGTTTCGGTCCGTCGCTCATAGGGATCGCGCACGTCATCATTCAGTTTCCACTCTATGAGTCCATCAAGTTTGACATCGCTCGTCGAAGAGAGGTTCCCCTCGACGACATTGCGCCCACGGATTTGATGCTCGCGAGCGCAGTAGCGAAGATGATTGCATCGACAATGACGTATCCGCACGAGGTCATCCGTTCGCACATGCATGTGCACGGACTCGGCCCATTTCGCGGCATCGGCTCGCTCGTGGCGAGCATTTACCGAGACGGAGGCGTCGTCGCCTTCTACCGAGGATGCGGTACAAACCTCATCCGCACCACCCCCGCCGCCGCCATCACCTTCACTTCTTTCGAGCTCGTCTCTCGTGAGATTGAAAAGCTCGTCAACGCCGCTGGAGATATCGTCTGAGTCCTCCGACTCACCCACTCTCACTGTCCTCCGAATCTCCGCTCGAACCGCTCGACCGTCGTTCGCGTCGTCGACATCCCGGCCGCATCCCCCCCCGCGAGTTGTCTAGCACACACGTGTAGTATTTCATTCATTATTGACTTTCTTCCCGTTCTCCGCGCCGCGGGCTCGCGTGGACCTCGCATCAACCATCCCGACCGCGCGTTCGACGAGTCACCAATGACAGCCCGAGGAAAAATTTCAAACCTGCACACGCAGCGCGCGCAGGCGCCCGCACACCTTGGCCCGTCCCGCACCTCGCGTCCGCGATGCACCGCGCGGTGGGCACCCTGTTCGGGAGCGTCACCAAGGCTGTGTTCGAGGCGCGGGCGAGCGCGCGCGAGAGAGATCGCGACGACGACGACGAGGCGAATGAGACGTCGATTCGAAAAAAGACGAAACGAGGCTCCGTGGGTCACGCGGGCGTCGACCCGGAAGGTCGAGCGGTCGACGCGAGCGATGGAGACGTCGTCCGCGCGCGGGGGGGGGCGGGCGGGACGGTGCGAAGGGACTCGCGCGGGAAATCGGGGAAGATGAGCGCGTACGAGACGCCGAGCGGAGACGCGCGAGGCGGACGCGGAAGAGACGCGACGGACGTCAAATCCACCGCGGTGGCGTCGCGACGTGGGCTACAATTCACCTCGGAATCGCGCGAAGTGGCCGGCGCGTCGAATCAGCGGATCGAGGACGACGTGGAGAACGTGATGGCGACGACGGAGGCCGCGGTCGCGGCGGGTGACGGAACGAGGAAAAAAGGTGTTAGCGGATTGCCCGTGAAGAGCATTGATTTCGAGGGCGCGGCGGTGACGCCGCTGCGGGAGCGGGTGAACACGGAGACGACGCCGTCGACGAGCGGGAGATGGACGCGAGGGACGCCGGGAGCGAGCGACGGGTTGCGAAACGCCCTCTCGCCGCCAATCGGTGACGCTTTGGGGAGTCCCGATATTCGTGGACGCGTCGATACCGTTGTTGCCGGTCTAAGCTCGGACGAATCAAGCGAGTCCGAGGCGGAGACCGAGGAGTTGGAGGACCAGGACGAGGACGACGATATGGGCGGTACTCAGGACTATATGGGCGCGACGCAAGTGCTTGACAGCGCCGCGCTGTGCGACGCGCCGTCCAGGTTCGATTTAGCAGTACAACCGATCAAAGAGGAAGAAGAGGCACCATGCGCGCGGGGTGGCGACGCCGCGATACGATTGCTTCGTCGACGTCTGTTCGGTGTCAATCGTGAGCGTCCACTCGGAGCCGACGGTTTAGATTTTGCGCCACACCTCAAGGCACACAGAGACCACTTGTTGAACATTCTCGAAGACACTGTGTCAGGTGGTCAAAATAACTCAGTGCTGATGGTTGGTAATCGCGGGAGTGGGAAATCACTGGTGCTAAACTCGGCGCTTAAGCTCTTGGCTGGACGGCATCCAGGCAAAGTCGTCGCAGTGCATCTCAGTGGTTTGCTTCACGCGGACGAACGCATAGGGATGCAGAAAATCGCCTCGCAGCTGTGCCCGAACTTGAACGGAGAGTCAAATGGGTACGCTAGCGGAGGTTTCGCTGAAAATGTCGCGTTCATGACGGAAATGCTCAAATTACTTCAGGGTGGTCAGCGGGGAGTGATTTTCGTGTTGGACGACTTTGAACTCTTCGCGATGCGTTCGAAGCAGACGCTCCTGTACGCCATCACAGATTTGCTCCAACAGCCGATGGTGCAAGCGGCCGTGGTCGGCGTCACGTGTCGCCACAGCGTGGATAGATTGCTCGAGAAACGTGTCGCGTCTCGATTCTCCAATCGACGCATCGTCCTCGCTCCGCCTGGCAACTCGGTGTCGATGCTTGAAGGTGTGACCAAGGCACTCAAGCTCTCAGACAAGGATAAGTATCTGTGTCCAAGCGAGCCAGAGTACGTGCAGCAGTGGAATTTACATCTGCACGCGTCCATGCAAAACACCGTGGTGAAGGAAAAGTTGGAGCAATACGGACGTCTGGAGAATACTCCGGCGGCAGTGAGCAAGGTTGCGTGCGCGATCCTTTCCCGCGTGAATCGCCAGCTCGGCAAGATCACGAGCAATGACGTCGTCGAGGCCGTGGATAGCATGTACCGCAACCCGTTCGTGGACTCGATGGTGGGATCCACACCCTTGGAGCTCTTGTTGTGCGTCGCCATGTATCGAATGCACAACGCGCGCAGGCGCCCGTCATTCACGTTCGAGGCGCTCACGCAGGAGCTCAACGACATGGGTACCAGAGAACAACTCACGCACGCCAAGGACTGCACTCGTCCCGTGCTCGTTCGCGCGTTCGAGAACCTTCTCGCCCTCGGCATCGCCACCGCGCACAAGTCTGGATCCGGAGCCCGCGGTGCCGCGCTCAAGGAGTACAAGAACATCGTCTTCGTCGTCGATCCCGAGGAGCTTCGCGAGGCCATTCGTCGCCACCCTAACGCCGTCTCCGGTCTCGCCGATTACATGGATCACGAGTCCCTGCGCCAGGCGCACGTCGTCTAGTCCAATCGTCGTAATCAAAATGAGCGAATTGATGCCACTTGATGCGAAAGCGTTCTTTCTCACCCTCGATAATCTCGCGCGCGCTCGAAGCGCTCACGTCGCACGCCGACGCCGTCTCGAGCGCTCGGGTGATCACAGACGATGTCACGCGCGTCGGCGACGTCCTTTCAAGCGCCCGCGCTCGCTCGAGCGCGTGTCGCGAGCGAAACCTCGTCGTCGTCGCGGAGCCGCCGGTCGAGCACACTCGCGCGAATCGCTTCGTCGCTTCGACGCAGAGCGCGCTCGAGCGGTGTGAACGAGCGCGCGAGCGTGCAAGCGCGAGCATCTTTCGATTGGCGTCCCGACGATGCGAGCGCGCTCCGATTAGCCGAGCCAGAGTCGACGAAGCCACTGCGGGTGGCGGTGCTCCTGAGCGGCGGCGTCGACAGCTCGGTCGCGCTCGCGCTTTTGCGCGCGGCCGGACACGAGTGCCGAGCGTTTTATCTGCAGATTTGGTTTCAAGAGGATTTCCGTAACACGTGGGAGGAGTGCCCTTGGGAGGAGGATCTGCGCGTGGCGGAGGGCGTGTGCGCTCGGGTAGGGGTGGAGCTGGAGACGGTGCCGCTGACGGACGCGTATTGGAACTTGGTCGTGAGCGATAGCGTGGAGGAGATTCGACGAGGACGGACACCGAATCCAGACGTGTTGTGTAATAGCCGGGTGAAGTTTGGGGCGTTCCGGGAGTGGTTGGCGAAGGCGCATCCGGGGGAGTTCGATCGCGTGGCGAGTGGACACTATGCGGCGGTGGAGCGCGACGCTGTCACGGGCGAAGCGTCGCTTGTAATGTCCGGCGACGCGTTCAAGGATCAGACGTACTTTTTAGCGAATCTTACACAAGAACAGCTTCGTGCGGTGAGCTTTCCGGTTGGTGGGATGCCAAAGGCGGACATTCGCTCGCTTGCCACGTCCGCTGAGCTACCGAACGCTGGGCGCAAGGACTCTCAGGGCATCTGCTTCTTGGGTAAGGTGAAATTCAGCGAGTTCATCGCTGAACATCTCGGGGAGATGCCAGGGGACATTATAGAGGTTGAGACCGGGAAGGTTCTCGGGAAACATCGCGCGTATTGGTTTCACACGATTGGTCAACGAAGCGGACTCTTCCTGCACGGCGGTCCGTGGTATGTCGCTGGGAAAGATTGCGTGAACAACGTCGTGTACGTCACCCGTGATTACTACTCCCTCGATAAATCGCGTGACACCTTCAACGTCGCTGGATTCAACTGGATCTCAGGGAAAGAACCGGATTTGGAGAACATTGAGGGACTGAGAGTGAAGGTGCGTCATGGAGAAAATATTTATTCGTGCTCGTTCAAGTTCAAGGAAATCGACGGCGAGCGGTGCGGGGAGGTAACAATCAATCAAGATGACCAAGGTTTGGCTCCCGGACAGTATGCCGTGTTCTACGACGGCCCGAAATGCTTGGGCTGCGGGAAAATTCTCGAGCCCAACGTTGGCACTATCGGGCTCGTGCCAAAACCTCTGGGAGAAGCCGCGTCGTCGACGTGACGAAACCGGAAGGATCACGACGATCCGATCGCATTGTCCTAATTGTAAGCTACTACTACGTATTCATCAAAACTACGCCGCAAGCGGCAACGCTGGTGAACAACGCCGGTGAGGAAGCTCAGCGCAAAGTTGCCGCCGCCATGGCAGCGCGACATGCTCCGCGCGGCGGCGATATTGGTGTGCGATGGACGACACTTCTCCGTGCGTGCGGCGGCGGAGCTCGCGTTCTGCGCCCGCAACACGGGGGCAACACGGGCACGTGTTCGCATAAAAGTCATATCGACGTAACGGTATAATACTACCTCCCGGTAAACTACTAATAACCTCCCTGTGAAAAGTTTACGGAAAATGTCCCATTATACGCGACGTCGCATCCGATCGGGATGTGTCGCACACCGTTACCCGACACCGCTTGAAGCACTACGACGCGCGGAGATTTTGACTAAGCTCCGTCATGGTTGTGCACTCCTTTCACGCCGCCGTGGATATTTTGAACGATCCTAATCGCGCGGGTCGCCAAGGCGTTCGCCGTACGCTAGCTCCCTGCTGACGCAAAATTGGCCATCATGGCTGGTAAGTTCTTGTCTACTGCCCGGTGCTTGCCTCGTCCAAATAGGCATCGCCCAAGCGCCGTCGAAGCGAAGACGTGTCATCTCCCGAACCACTGAGCACCTTTAGCGCACCCTCTACGCCACGAAGCGCGCTGTAAAGAAGGTCTTGGGCGTCAACTTTGTACCACTCTTGGAAGCTTTTGCATGCACAAAATTGCTTCTCAGGTCCCCATTCAGGCTGCCAGTTTGGCACGGTAAACTGATCATGAGCATCAATCGAAACACGTCCACCAACACTCAGGTTACTGCCATCGCAGCCTATGACACCCACAGGATGAACAACGAAGTTAATTTGTTCAACGCCTCTTCTTGAGTGGAGAACATACTGGGATGAACATGACCCATAATTCCGACGATCAGTAAGCGTGAGCCTCGCCTGTTCCTTTTTCGCCTCGTAGCAGCGCAATGCATCGCTCAACTCCTCGAGGTTGCGTTCTAAAGATGCACCAGTCCTTTTTCTTTTGTGCTGCTGGAGTTTTTCAGAGGCGTGCTCTTTTATGCCGGCAATTTTATCGGACAATCCTCTCAAATCTGCGATGACCGCATCAACATCGGCGCAAAGCGCGTTCAACGAACTGTCTGCCTCTTTTAATTTCGCACGAGTGTCCTCGATGTGCTGCGGGATAACCGACCGTCGCGTTTCAGAGATATTCTCGTCTTGTAGCTGCGCTTCCAAAACTCGAATATCTTCGTCGATGCACTCTACTTTGTAAAGATAACTCGCCCGTAAGAGGCGCTTGAACTCCTCGAGGCCGTCGGGCGTCGGCTTGTCGTACTCGTCTCGTCCTCGGGCGAATTCCTCGTAGACTGGTTCCTTGAAAAATGGTTTGCTCTTGTACGAGCGTTCGAGATCATCCTCTGCTGTTTTAACCGCCTCTACCTCCGCCGTGCCGTTCATCCAGTCCGGTTGAAGCGACGGGTTTAACGAGTACGTTCTCCATGCCGGTGACGCGTGCGCGACTGCATCGGTCATCGCGTGCGTCGACAAAGTGACGGACACCGACAAAGGGCGAACGACGACCCCTCGCGCGCCGCGACATCGTATAAACGAGGCACCAAAAACGAGGCACTCGTTCCCGGAGATCTCCGAACGCGCCTCCGTCGCGCCAGTCCGCGTCGCGTCGCGTCGCGCGCGATCGAGACGCGCACGAGAGACGTTCGAGAGAGAGAAGCGCAGAGACGATCTCGAGACGCGTCGCGGATCGGCGCGAGGCGCGAGGGATGCGCGCGAACGAGTCGTTCCCGTCCTTCTCGGACGACGATCTCGACGACGACGCTATGATTCGCGCGGTCGATCGCGTGTCCGCGTCGCCGGTGGCGGCGACGCGACCGGGTGCGATGGAGTCGGGAGTGCCTTTCGTCGCGCCGGTGGACGCACGGGCGGAGGCACCTGCGGAGGCACGTGCAGGGGAAGTCTCAGGGGACGACGCCGTGTTCGAACAGTACGCGCGGCTGTCGCTCCAAGAAGGAGAAGACGACACCGACGATTGGGGGGATATGTATCTCGTGGACGATGTCGACGACGACGAGGACGACGATGAAGACGACGACGAGGATGGCGAGGCTTATGTGGCGGAGGAAGGCACCGAAGATACTCGCTATTATTCGGCGCCTGATGAATCGGATGTTTCGAGCGTGATGGAAGAGATTCAACAGACACAGGGGCACGAGGATGGTGATGATATCGAAATAACGCAGGTCGTCACTCGCGACGCGCGTGGTATGGAGTCACATGGATCTGCCCAAGATACGTTGCGAGCTATGAATTCTCAAGCTATTGGCGCTCGGCGAGAACCGAACGGTCAGCCGCGTCCGGCAACGACTGATTACACGAATATGTCCGATACAGAATTCGAACAACGATTCCAAGCGATGTTGAGAGAGAGGCAACGACGAGGTCGCCCATGGGAACAAGAGGATGACGCGCAAAATGACACCCAACACGCTGCTGAAGCTCGCGAGCCGGCGGACCGAAGGATGGCGCGGCGTGTGCGCCCACGTACCGCGCGTCGCCCTCGCAGACGTCGCGTTATAGTCGACGGACAACAGACACTTGATGGATTCATTCGACACGCTCGAGACATGGACCATGACGTCATGATCGAGCGTGCGCAGCCATCGCGCCCGAGTAGAACGTTGGATGTCGAGCAAGTCTGCCCCAATCTGCCTCGCACGGCGGAATCTTTGTATGAGAATTGGGAGAACACAGCCCAGAAACTCATCCCCGACGGGGTGTCTATTTACAGCAATTTTCTCTACGCTTTCGGAGACGATACTGATGAGGGTCGCCGATATAGAAGAGAGGAAATCATGCGAATCGGTGAAGTTTTACTGCAGTTCGAACAAACGAAGAAACCGGGCCAACAGGCTATCTTGAAGGGACGGGAACGCGAGGGTAAGACGGGCGCTCTATTTTCGACCGCGCTTTTAGCGCTCATTCTGCGCATGCGAGTCGTCATCCTCTGCGCACCAAACAAAGTAGCGCCCATCGTTGACATGGTACAAAAGCTCCAACGCGCTGGATTCGCATCAATGTTCAACACGAAGCACACTTTGGGGAAAAAGGCGACCGAAGATAATGATTTGCCGTCGGCAGAGGTTGGTCAGATTTTCGTCGCTGCTCTTGGCACGGTTGGCGATTTAAAGAAGGTGAAAAGTTTCATCGAAGGTGAGCGGAAAGGGGGGCATTTGACCGTGACGCTTGTCGATGAATGCGATGAATTAACGCAAGGAAAAGGACAAAAGTCTATTCTCGTCCCTCACCGGGAGAATTACGAAAATTACCAACACTACATAGATCTGGAACAACGCGGTGAAGACGACCAAGAACACGCGTTTGTTTCGGCTACCAGTCTCACGGCTCGACAAAAGTCGGTGAAAGAGAAACTCGCAGCGGCGTCATGTTTCTTCAAAGAATACGTTTATCCCAAGACTCAATTAATCGCGTGTTCGGCTACCCTCATTGGGTATATAATGAATCCAGTGGGCGTGTTCCGCAACGACTTGGTGACACCAATTTTCGAAGTGTTCCCGAAAATTGGATACGCAGGCATAAACAAATTTGAGATTCCCGAAGGCTGTGAGTTGGAGCAAGAGGGCAACATGAGTATCGATGCGTTCAATGAATCATCAGCGGCCAATCGGCTACTCGAGCGCTTCTATCGTAGAGAGAACGCGTGCGATGGCAGGGTTCTTCAGCCGAGAGAGCGTAGTGGAGCAAGGCCGATGACGCTTCGCGGAATGCTTTTCATATCATGCCACACGGCTGTGAATGTTGCCGGCGGCGTCGATGACTTCGCGAAAGCGATCGAACGCACAGTCAACGGATGGGGTACCGAACTCGATCCACAAACGACGTTGTTTGTGTGTTTCGTGGGAAAGCCTCGAGTTCGCTTTGCCGGCAAGTGGTTGCAAATGAAAACGGGTGCTTCATTCGAAACAATTTACAACGAGACGGCGAAACGAGCACGACAGGGCAAGTTTGACAACGTTCGTCTCGGCCCGAATGAACCTTTCAGCAAGATTTGCACGCATTGCGTATTGATTGGATATTCCATGACCCGTCGCGCGATGACTGCCGCGTTCTCGCCTCAAGACGAACCTGATGTGTTGTGCAAAATTCAGTATGGCATTTTGACGGCGCCGAAATCCTTGGTCATCGATGCTGTCAGTCAACGAATCAACAGACCATCGCATGAGTTCGCAGAGCACGACGTTCCCGACGACTATTGCATCGATGTTGCGATGAGTCCCGTGACTTTGGAAATTTGCAAAGCGTATCGCGCGATGGAAGACGAAATGTCGAAGAAGCAACGAGAGTCTCCCGTCATACACAGCGAGTTCATACAGAGTATCAATGTATACGCGCGCAATTTGGAAGACGTAAAGATCTCGAAGCGAGGTCTCCGTCTGGGTGACTTGAGTGCGACTGGACGCAAGCAACGAGCGAGAGAAAAACTCTCCGTCAATCCCGATCATATTCCGTTCCTTCAAGCCTTCAAGGAGTGGCTCAGCGAGTACGAGTATGTTCGCGATGAACGCTACGCTACCTCTTCTGTGGAGAGCTATTACGCCATAGTGAAACAATTGTTCACGCCCGACTCAGAAGTCGAAACCATCTATGAGTCGGCGCAAGACAGAATCGTGCAACTCACCGCTGAAGAGAACCCCACCGTTCATCACAATCACATCCAGGCGAACAAGCGTTTTTGCGAGTTTTACGAAGAACGGCGCCGCCAGGCGGGCGCAGACGCGGCGTGACTCTAACATCGCCGCGCACAAACAATTTTCTATTCTGTATCTTCAAGTTGTCCTTATACCGTAGATCCGGCAATAGAGGGTGAAAAAGTGTAAGGCTGGGGGGGAGATAGATTGTGAAACGAAAATTTCACTTTGATTTTCGTTTCGGTAATTCTGTCCGGATAGGCGTAATTATCGCAACGGGGGAGATGGGGGGTGAAATTTGTGATGAAAATTCAAATTCGGTCGACTCGGTACTGGTTTTGGGGAAAGGATGGTTGGGAAATGTACCGAACCGCTCGCACTCCCACGCGCGCGCGTCGAGTTTTTTCGCCCTTCACCGAATGCGGAAGCGAAGGAGAACGTTCGTCTGACGCACTCCGCGCCGCGGATCGTGGGCACGCGCGTTGCGCGCGCATCCAGGGCGCGCACTTCGCGCGAGTCAAAACGTGCTCGCTCTGACGCGAAAGATGACGGGCTAGCCGTACGTCGGAATCGCGATCGAGCCGTTCGCGAGGCTCAAGACGTTCTCACGATGTTTTCAACCGCACGCGTCGTGCCGCTGGACGTATAGGCGCGTGGACGTGCGCGGGCGCGACGCGGGCAAGAATGAGGAAAGGGTTTAAAAAAAGTCGTTTCCGGACGTTCGTATGTTCGCCGGCGGCACAACGCATCGCTTGAGTCGACCGCGCACTGACGATGGATGTGAACAGGAAGTATGCGGCACTATGCGCAGTTATCGCGCTCGTACAGCGCCAGCGTTGCTTCCTCCACCTGCTGCTGTTACGAAGAAGGAAGCGACGACGCGATGACTTCATCTTTCGCTGTCGTCCGTTGCACGCGAATCCCGTGCGTGCACCACGCGTCACCGGTGGGACGCTCGAGGGGATGTTCTCGGCACTGATCGTGTTTTCGGCTCCGATCGGCTCAGTCGCTTCGCCTTCGTCAGCCGGCGCATTGGAAGGCGCCTCAGAACCCGTTCGAGCTGGAAGTTGAAGTTCACCTTGCGTGACAAAGCGCATCATCATTTCAAGCACATCGTTGGTACGACGCAATTCCTCGATGACCTGTCGCTCGAGCGCCTCTTCTCTCATAGCACGCGTAGGTGACTTATCCGGCGCCATGGTTATCGGATGTACCGACTCGCGACGTGCTGTCGCCGCCGCTGTGCGCTGCTGTAACCGACTGGCAGTGTTCGCAGCCGATGTGCACCTGTCTTCGTGTCTTAGCGCGAACTCCGGTCTCGCCCGTTCTTTCAGCGTCCTGTACGCAGCGGGATCGAGATACGGGGAGTCTGGCGCCACGTACCTGAATACCACAAGGGTCGCTTCTGAATGTTTTTCTTTCAAAGCTTCGTTCTCTTGCTTGTCCCAAAAGTCCTGACGGGCTTTTCCAGACTCGCCTTGTTGGTTTCCGCACGCTCTGAAACCACGTCGGAAAACGTGCGCGACTTTGAGCACGTGTGCCTTCACAGCCTTTCCACGTTCGAACACAGTCTTGTTCGCTCCGACGACACCGTGTTCGTTGACTTCTTCGCACCGACGTGCGTCGATGGATTCCTCGGGCGTCCTCGCGCCGTGTACGGTCGTCGATGGTTTCCACAGACCCAACGCGGCGAGCTCCCGAACGTAATGGGGGTACTGCTTGTTAGCGTATTGCCATCGATCGACCTCCCTACTCTCTTGCACGACTTCGCACGCGCTGAAGTATGAGTCGAGCGAGGCGAGTTGTTCAGAAGGAGTCCAGCTCGGACCACGAGGGATGCCGCTCTTCCGCCGCCCGTCCGCGGCAGTGTCCTGCGACGCGAGCGACTCGCGACCACCCGCGTACTCCGCTTCGTCTACGGCGACGTGCGCCGACTCCAGAGCGGCCGCATCTGAGGCGTGCGGGTGCGGCGCGTGCGCCATGGCGCGCGATGGAGTGTCGGGCGCGAGTTTTTGAATGTAAATTTTCACCACGGGGGAGATGCGCGACGATAATTCGGGACGATACTGACCCCCTCGACGTCACGAGTCATGAACCACCATAAATTTTCACTTCGAATTTTTGCCCCGAGGCAAAAATTCGTTCGGGCGAGGCGAAAATTGCCCAGTTTCGCCTCGCGAAATCGTGAAAAGTGAAAATTGAAGTGAAATTTTGACAAAAATTCTATCTCCTCCGTGGTGAAATTTCGTTTTTTTTACTTGACGCCACCAAATTTTCGTTATTGCCGGCTATCTCCCCCTCGGCCTAACACTTCATTTCGTCGGCTCGTCGACGCGCGTCTCCTTCATAGTTTGCAGAGATGAATGTCGCGTTCGAACGATCAAAACGTCCTCTCACAGAATCCCGACGGGTACACTACGGAAATCGCTTTTCAAGCAGTCCTTCACTGGCCGACGCACCGCGTCGCCGCGCGCGATGCCATGGCGTCGGACGACCGTACGGTCGATGTGGTGGCCGAGATAGAGCGCGCGCACGCGTTTTGCGGCGGCGGCGGCGACGGCGACGGCGGCGATGCCTTGGGACGAATGAGACGAGACTTCGGACGCGAACACGGCGCGATGTACGAGAGGATGCGATCGATGTTGGACGAGGACGCGCGCGAGGCGAGGACGAGAAGACGGCTCCGGCGCGCGTTGATCGCGGAGTTTCCGAAGTTTGATGCGTACGCGATCGATGTGGCGGTGGCGTGGGACGACGCGCGTTGCGCGACGTTGGCGCGCGGTCTCGTCGAGACGCCGACGGCCGAGGTTCCTTTCGGTGACGAGAAGACACCGGTGGTTCGAGCGGCGGAGAAGGGGCTAAAGGAGCGTCTGAAGTTCTTGCACGAGCACGGGTATGCATGGGATGCGGAGACGTGCATGTACGCCGCTGAGAACGGTCATTTGGAGTGCTTGAAGTTCGCACACGAGCACGGATGTGCGTGGGATGAAAGGACGTGCATGTACGCCGCCAGGAGCGGGCAGTTGGAGTGTTTGAAGTACGCACACGAGCGCGGGTGTGCGTGGAATGAAGAGACGTGTGATTACGCCGCTGGGAACGGTCATTTGGAGTGTTTGAAGTACGCACACGAGCACGGGTGTGCGTGGGATGAAGAGACGTGTGAGTACGCCGTTAGGAACGGTCATTTGGAGTGTTTGAAGTACGCACACGAGCGCGGGTGTGCGTGGGATGAAGAGACGTGTGATTACGCCGCTGGGAACGGTCATTTGGAGTGTTTGAAGTACGCACACGAGCACGGGTGTGCGTGGGATGAAGAGACGTGTGAGTACGCCGTTAGGAACGGTCATTTGGAGTGTTTGAAGTACGCACACGAGCACGGATGTGCGTGGGATGAAGACACGTGCATGTGGGCCGCCAGTAGCGGTCATTTGGAGTGTTTGAAGTACGCGCACGAGCACGGGTGTGCGTGGGATGAAGACACGTGCATTTGGGCCGCCTCAAACGGCCAATTGGAGTGTTTGAAGTACGCGCACGAGCACGGGTGTGCGTGGGATGGAGAGGTGTGCAGGCGCGCCGCCGACAGTGGCCGCCGAAAGAGAGAAGACCGAGTGGAGAATTATTGGAACTGTTTATCGTACGCGATCGATCACCAATGCCCCGGATACGAGACATCCATCACATTGTTGCGTCTCGAACGCGATGCGCAAGCCGCCGAGATAAGCTTCATCGTCAATCTCGCACTCTCGCACGCGCGAAACGGCTACATCCCAGAGCGCGAGTACGCCGAGCTCAAAGCCGAGCTCAAAGCCGAGCTCAATCGCGCTCGCGCAGGAATTGACAACATTCTTGACCAACTCTATAAGCGATTTGGTCTTCCCCGATTCGAGCGTCTTCACATGAGATAATCCGCTGATTGGGAGAGAGGAAAGGTCCCTTGTGCGCGCGTCCCGGCCGCACCGCGGCCGCGCACTCGCTCGTGCGCGCGATGCACTGCGTCGCGACACCCGCGCGTAAAGACGTGACGCGCGCGGAAAATACCCATACTTGAACTCACGGTGTTGACTGGTGATGGTAGAGAGCTTAAGGCGGGCAGCGCGATTGGCGGTCCGGCTGGCATCGCGTAATCCTGAGGCAGATGTTTTACGCATATTTATTACAAGGACTTTGTGCTTTGGGATGGCGCGAGCGCGCGCCCTATCATCAGCGGGAGCCCTGAAATTAGGCGATTTAGGATACATGTGTCTCGCGCGATGTTATATGATGAAAGGACGAATGATAAATTGTCGGGCTGTTACCTCTATTCGACACGCGTACGCGGACGGACTACCATAATGGCGAGAGCAGCGCCTTGAATGTGGCGCAGGTACGCTGGTGTTAGCGAACGAAACGATTTTCGACGTATTCACAAGACTAGGCGATCAAGGTGACGAGGTCACCTCGAATGGTACACTTTTCCTCCTCTATAAGAAGCATTGCGGCGTCGCGAACCTCCTGGATGCTCAGCGCCATCGTGTTGTCCCTCTCCGCGAGCGCCTTCGCGAGCTCGCCCAGTCGGAGTCTACCGCTCCCAGACGTATTAAGACACGCCCTGATGGCCTCCGCAACCGTCCTACGGTGCTGACGGTCGCTGGCGCTACGTCCGGTCAATATCTTATCCATATCAATCGTCCCAGTGCGAGGATCAACGGCGGATTGCTGCATCGCCACCCGCATCAATCGCAGCGCCTCCTTAGCGTCGTCACGATCCACCACCGCACTTAAACGCATGCGCGCTAGAGACTCTGAGAGACGAATGAGAGACTCAAGTTGTCTCGGCGTCGCAGTAATAACTTTTCGACTACCACCCATGCGTCGCGTCTCAACATATCCCTCCACGAGCTCTTCCGAGGCTTCGTCGCTGAGCACCGGTTGTACATTGGCGCGAGCATACGAGACGTACTCGGTGAGCAAGTCGGCAGAAATCACGCCCCGTTTCTTCTGCGGGGGATTCTTGTAGTGCAAACTGACTAAGTGTCTCGCCAGACGGCGATCCGTCTCGGGATTAGGACGGTCAAGCAATAGGTAGAGCAAATCAAAACGGGACAACAGTGTCGGCGGGAGTTGAATGTTCTCCACCATGGACATGTTCGGGTTGTAACGACTTCCGACTGGGTTCGCTGACGCAAGGACCGAAGTCCGTGCATTTAACACCGCAATGATTCCAGCCTTTGCGATGGAAACCGTCTGCTGCTCCATCACTTCGTGCAACATTGATCGAGCACTGTCAGACATCTTGTCGAACTCATCAATGCAACAAATGCCGCGATCAGAAAGCACGAGCGCTCCTGACTCGAGCACCATGTCTTTTGACTCCGGATCGCGAGTGACGTACGCTGTAAGACCAACCGCAGACGAGCCTCTACCTGAGGTGTACATACCACGCGGCGCGATACGATGAACGTACGTCAACAGCTGAGACTTGGCGACCCCGGGATCACCGACGAGTAAAATGTTGATGTCGCCCCGGACCTTGTTCGCTGCCTTGTCGCTGAAGCTCTTGTTCGTGGCGCCAAAGAGCTGACACAACAGTCCTTTTTTAACGTCTTCTAGCTCCCAAATTGACGGGGCCAACGACGCCACGAGCCGGTCATAAATGTCCGGCGATCGACCGAGCTCTTCTATCTCGGCCATGCGCTCCGGAGTGAACTCCATTTGCTGTCCAGGACCTTGATTCTTCGCCGGTCCGGATGACTTCGTTGAAGCAGCTGAGTTTCTTGCAGCCTCTTCATCCTCGGGTCCGGCCGTGTTTCGCATCCTCGCCCCGACGTCCTTTCTTATATGAAAAACGTCTAGGTACGTCTTGTACACACTCTTGAGCGTGCGCTTCGTAGAGCTCAGACGAATTGGAACCGCACGATACACTCCAGTAACTTCAACTCGGTCACCCGGCTTCGCCTGATCAACGAGATCATCGAAGACGCACATGGATACAGTGTGCGGAGTCTCACCCTCGGGAATCGCATCCGGTGTCTCCTGCATCTTCACCGTTTGCTTGTTTGTGAATTTGCATAGATTGTGAATCAAGGTCATCGTTCCTGGCTTGCCGCACTCTGTGCACTTGAGCGGAGGTTCGTTGACGCGACCGCGGTCGACTTGAATATGTTCTGGGGCGAAGCCGCACATCAGACACTTGAAATATGCGAGTTTTAGGTCAGGAATGATCGTTGTGCATCGCGTCACCATACCACGCACGCACACCATCTTGTCAATGTCCGATGGATTCAAGTCGCGCATGGGTTTCGCCTCCATCATGTTGAACGGGCGCACTAG